TTTCCATAAGCATATTAAACTACACATGGAGAGTAAAGCATAAGGTAGGCAAAAGCAAGACCTGGCAGAAATCAATACAGTGTTTTTTTTTTGTTTGTTTTTTTTTTTTTTTTAAACCAGGAAGTGAGCAGCCATCATGCAACCAATTACATACATAAAAGGCTCATGCTAAATTAGCATGACACATAGTCATCATGATTTTTAAGATTCACAAGGAAATGACTTGATGAGAGTTAGAAGCTCAGTTTGGCAGTTCTGTTTGGCACATTTGACCTTGGGCCTACAATATGAACAACATCGAGGGACTGGTTCCAGGAACAAAAATCAGCTTCCATGTCCCTGAATGACAACAGACATGTTTGACATAGGTTTAATAACTAATTAACAGGTAAGACTGTTACACAACTGTACCAGGAGGGCAAAGTTTTGAAGATTACAGGACTGCCACTTGCAAGGTGTAGTACCTTTACCGCATCTTTTTTTTTTTTTTTTTGGCTCTAAGTTTTAATTTCCTGATCTGTAAAATGAGAATGGTTACAGTCCTTTTGCCTTGAGCCTCTTAAATAAAATACCTTACATGAAAATACTTGGCACACTATGGACACCAAATCATGATTTTTTAAAAAAAAAAAAACTGTGTGGGATGAAATAACCTAAATCCCACAGTGGAGCCCACTCATTTTACTCTGAAAATCTTGATGAAGAACAAAAGTTTTTTTTTTCAAGAAAGTTATTATAGGAGGGAGGACATTGCAATTGGGCCTCGAGGATGAAAAAAGATTTTAGTAATAAAACCCCTAGCCAACATTTAAGTAGAGGTTTCTGCATACCAGGCACTATTTAGGACATCTGACAAAAGTTAACTTATTTGCTGGCTATAATCACTCTAGGTGACAGGTTGTGACAACCCTCATAATACCTCTAGCCTATTAGGCTTGCCCTGACACAGCCATCCTGTGTCAGGTTAATTTGCAATACTTCCACCCTAAGTGATAGGTTGTGGCAGTCAGGCAACAGAGTACATTGTAACTTCATTCCCTGCTTATAGCTGATGAAGCTGCAATAGAAAAAAGTTGCTCAGGTATAATACATTGTTTAAGCTTATTAAGTGTGGACTCTGCGAGGGCAGAGAGATGGCTTAGCGGTTAAGAACACTGGGTGCTCTTGCAGAGGACCCGAGCTCCATTCCCAGCACTCACATGGTTGTTAACAACCATCTCTAACTCCAGTTCCATGGGATCCAATACCCTCTTCTGACCTTGGTGGACATTCATCACACAGGTGCATTTGCACACATGCAGGCAACATACTCACAAACACAGAATAAAAATAATAAATAAAATATTCTTAAAAACAGTGGACTCTGGTAGCCAAAAGACCCTCCCTTGTCAAGTGGCCTCTCAAACACCCTGTCCTGTGTCAGGCTGGTCCCCTGGCTCTGTAACAGGGTGAGGGGAAAACAGCAAGCTTCTGAGGATATTAAAATCATACGTCCTTGGGAATAGTTAAAAGACAAACCATTTACAACAGAAGTTGCTATTGTTTATCTCATGGTAAAAAATGCCGATAGTGGGAACAGGAAGCTGAAAACTCATCCATGGAGACACTCAACCAGAAACTCCAATTTAACTGCTTCTTCCCCACTCAATTTCTGCTGGATGATGTAAGCCCTGGATTTGATGATGTTACCTTTGCTTGCTCTTTTGAACGGACTACTTCAGTCCTCTCTGTGCTATGTTGTGAGCTCCAGATTTGATTCTGTTTTGCTATCTCTCTGCTGCTTCTGTCTTTTTGCTACTTGCTATTCATTCTTTTACTTTTGTCTGCTAAGTGCTTAATAATCACACTGTCATAGATACAGCTGTCATAGGTACAGCTATCATAGACTATCCTCTGACCCTTACAGAATACCAGGTCACACCTGGGATTTAAATCCTGGCTACTAAGCTCAACAGTTCACATTCTTGAGCAGGATATCAGTGACACAGGAAGCACATGCCCATTGTGTGAGCTAAACATGAGAAGAGTTTAACCTAAATACAAGAAAACAGTCATAGGGCGTAAAAGCTCAGAAAGAGTCCTAAAAGTCATTTTAAAAATGAAATGTTCAGCACCAGCACCCTAAATGACTTAGTCCCAACTATGAATCAGTGATCTAAGAGGTATGCTCCAAGGAGCCAGATTCTGGTATCCTGCCTTATCTGCTGTCCACTCCATGGCAGTAAACATATTCAAAAAGATCTATGTGTTCAGTTAAAGCCATTGCCACCTTACTAAGGCACACTGTTTAGCCAGGATTTAAATCCCAAGTGTGACCTGGTGTTCTGTAAGGGTCAGAGAATAATCTATGATAGCTGTACCTATGACAGATGAATCTATGATAGTGTGATTATGAAACTAGTCATAAATCTGGATCTAACCAGACCTGTGTAAGTGATCTTTTAAGGGAACTATCAGAAAGCTGTGACTTGTAAATAATTGTTCATCAGGATCCCTCAAGGCAGTGTTAAGTAGCAAAACTGTGGGTTGGGAGGTAGCACAGAGGTAAAAAGTGTTGTCCTAATGTGCACAAGGCACTGAGTTTCATCCTTGGTTCCAGACACAAAAATATAGTTGAGTTGAATTATAACCCACATTTTGAATATTGGTAAGAATATGCAACCTTAAAAGTGGGAATAGACGTTGAGTGGTCCAGGAGGGGAGCAGGAGACAGGAAAAGATGAGATAAATTTAAGTGGGCCCACATCACTCATCAAGAAGATGCCCCTCAGACATGGCCACAGGCCAGTCCAATAGAGGAAATTCCCCAATTGAGGCTCCCTCAACCCAGATGTGTCAAGTTGACACTAAAGCTATCCCGCACAAATGCATACTATGAAATTTCTAAGGAAATAATATAAATCAGGAAATAAAAATCTATACTGTAAATGTGAAAGAGAAGCTGGAATTTCATACTCAAATAATTGTCTAAGGTGTGGCATGCTTCTTTTCCTGCTAAATAACTGCACAAAATACAACAGTTAGCATAAAGTAGAACGAAAGGCTAAATTCAGAAATAGGCGGCGTTTTTGGAAGAAGCTTACGGTGCTGGCTCTCAGCTCTGTAGAACCTAACAAATCCCTATTTCACATGACACTGTGTGGGTCAGAAAAAGTTACAGTTGATCTTGGCATGATGTGGAGAGAAACACTCTAACATCAACAGTCACATCCTCAGTATTTTGGAATACCATACCTTAACTGCTCCAAAATAAGCTTATGAAAAGAAGACATCTGGGGAAGACTTTATTCTCACAAAGACAGAATTCCAGTGCTATTTCTGTTACAGCTAAAGTGTATTCTGCACATGAGATTCATCTTCTGTGACTTCTAGAGCTTTTTAAAAACCCTTGCTTAATTTCAGCAACCTCTTCCTTTTTACCTCCCCTCTTCCCACAGGCACAATCTCTGGCACCTTATTCGGGAGAAAGATAAAATGTGACAAATCCATCAGTTAGCATGTTGAATTAGTTTACCTCCTAATACTGCTTAGATGTGCACTGGTGTGAGTGAAAACATCAAATGCCAAAGAGCTCAAATCCTCGCTCTGTCTCTATGCAACCTGACAAGTTACCTAACTCTACCAAACCTCAACTTCCCCATCTGTAAAGGGAGTGAACACAGCAACCACCTTGAAAGGGTATGAGAAGTCAAGAGACAATGGCAGGGCAATGCCCAGCTGCCCTTGTACATGTTTGGAAACATACAGGTCTTCTCCTTGTCTGTAGGAAGCATTTACAAAGAGCATAGCAAAGTCAGAAGACTGAAGACAATGAAATGATCCTCAAAGATGAAAACAGTTTGCTTTTTCATACCCCTGCCTCCAGCTCCTGGGCATTCCAATTCCTTGTGTATTTTCAAATCAATAAGCACTTCTTCCTTGGGCTTGTTACAGACTCTACCCTGGGGATAGTTACCTTAAAATCAGATTGCGTAAACCCGGTATGGACTTGTGTATTGTTACCACCATGAACACTTGTACAAATAAACACTTAGAAGTGACTCCAAGTGTGGTCCACAAACAACATTGACAGCCCCTGGGAGCTGGTTAGAAAAGCAGATTCTTCACGTCTAAGCTGCTCCAGCAAATAAGCCCCGACACATGCTCATGCAAGCAACCATAAGTGAACTCATTGGCTCACAAAAATAAAGACATGAGAGCAGGAAGGAGACTTTTTGGCAAGAAGAAGGGATTCAGAGGGAGTGTGAGGACTAAGAGAGGATAATCGGGCTGAATATGGTCAAATTACATTTCATACATGCATGGAATTGTGAAAGAATGAATTAAAAAATTAAAAGAGTAAAGAAGACTCCTAGGTTCCATCCCAGACTTAGTGCATTCAAATCTGCATTGTCAATTCGTGTGCACACTAGAATTTAAGATGCCCTGACATAGAGCACAATAAGTTCAAGGAAATCATTATGACTTACAAAAACTTATCAATTATATGGACGTGGGACCAAACGGACAATTTACATCCCACATTTCTATTTCTATGTAAAGTATCCCCAAGTCTCTGATTTAGAAAAACTTCAAGAACCTAAGAATAAATACATGTAGCTGAAACAAAATGATAAAAATACAAAGAAAAGAAGGTTTGGCTTCAACATGAAAAGCCATGAAAGTGTAAACTATGGAAAAAGCCAGTGGCGGAAACAGCACAAAGCTAGATTGAGCTCATGGTGATAGGCACCCAATCTGACAGCTCTCCTGAGTGAGATTTTGAGCAAGAGACTAATTCACAGAGAATCAACAGATTAAGACTCTGATCCCCAAATTACACACTGCCTTCCAAGTCCCAAGGGAAGTCCAACACCTTTGGCTTCATAACTTTGAATTATATTTTTTTTCCTGTGGTTGGCTTTCCAAACTTTGAAAGCTTCAGACTCCATGACACCTGGTTCTAAACCCATTGTCCCATAGGCTATGACACTACATAGCCACCTGCCACTTAAACGCACCATTCTGCCTTGTTCCGGCTCCCCAGGGTCCACTGTGATGAAGTAGAAGCTGCTCCTGCAGGAACCCAGCCTCAGCTGTCCTCTTACATTTTCCCGGCTGCTGGGTCAGAAATGGCTACATGACTCAGTGCCCCCAAAGCATTTATTGTCCTGCAGGGCCTTACACAATCCCACAGGAAACCACGCTCAACACTTAGCCAATACTTGTTGATCTGATTGAATGCAATGAAAACGAAGACAAAAGCATATTTCATAAAGGTTCTAACTCTGATAACTGCAGCTCCTGCTTTTCCCAGCAGCTCTTGGGGACATGTGATAACCCTGCCTTTGTTTATAGAGCTCTGTGCTGGAAAGGACAAGAAAATATCTCGGCAAAATCCAACTTCTGACGCTGACTTCGCTCACAGGAGTCAGTCAGGAAATCATTAGGTAACGCCAAAGTGCACAGAAAATAAGCAATGAAAACTTCAACTCAACACTTGGACAAAGGGAGGTAGTGAACCTGTGTGAACAATTAATACAGTCCAAAAGAGCTCATGGCCATGGTTCATTAAAGAGCCTGAAAGAATTTGAAGTAGTTGACAAATACAGGACCTGTTATGGTGCCTCCCTCTGAAACTGATGAAAAACTGAAATCAGGCAGCATGCCTCTTTCTGAGGCAAAACCAAACCAAAGAGATGGGCTGTGTACATCTGGCACTGTGGTTCTTGCATCAAGACAGTGGCTGATGGAGCCCGGGCCTACAACACTTCCTCTACTACCATAGTCAAACGTGTCATCAGAAGACTGAAGGAATTCAAAGACCAGTACAAGTTCTACCATTTCAGACACACCTCAGCCTACAGTAAATGACTGAATTTGTGTTAAAAAGTGAATCTATGTGAAAGAGATGTACTCTTGCTCTGGAGTGTGTTACTGAATATGTTAAAGCTGTAATGAAATGCTTCTTCTAATCATGTAGTTATTAAAAATTAAAAAATAAAATAACTTAAAAATGAATCTAAAATTAGAAATGAGATTGGTTTGCTAATATGTGTTGCACCAATATCACAAAGAAAATGCGTGACTGTCACTTTGCATTGCTATAACCACATCTTGGTGTTCGGCTTTCCTTACCCCACCACTTTCTCTGGTGCATGCTGGTGCATCATGTGTAATAAATCTAATGACATAGTTTAAATTCGGCTGGAGACTGTGAGAAAATCATCCTTTTAGCATGCACTGACATACTCTGTTAGTTCATGAACTGATGGACCACATTAATGGTTCTGTAGGCATCTATGATGCGATTACGTGATGATTCCTTATGTGGGTAGAGGCGAATGAAACCCCTGACTTTTTCTGAATTTCCATCCAGTAGGAAAAAGGTCTATGCTGTAGCAGGGTCCACATTTGAATAAGACTACTGATAACTTTTTTGATGCAGCACACAGAATATTTGCCTTAGACAGACACAGAATTACTTCTTTTGATTGGTCAAGTCATATTAAGATCTTGTCACATGCTGATCATTCTGGGAGGGGCTGGAGACACGAGGAGAAACATTGCAAAGCTATAAGAATCTGGTAACGTGAATTACTAATTCCACACCTTTTCCATATGATGATTTATATTTATCTCACAGCTTATATATGATAGCACAGTAGATAGATTTTAGAATAAGAAAACAATTAGAGGAGGGGAAGGAAAGGGTGGTATAGCCGTGGAGACACCTGGATACAATCTCTTGGGATTTCCATACCTCCTTGGATCTTGAAACCCTCAAAGGCAGCGAGGAGGAGTGGTTTCCTCTAAGTCAAAATGCCACAGATTTATTTCCTTCTTCTGTTCATTCTCTCCCCTTCTACTTCTCCAAAATTTTTCTTTGGCTCTGTGTTTCCCATGGTTTTCATTGACTCCTTTTTGGCAATGTGTTATTTCAATTACATGATTTAATTTACTCAAATTATAATCTGCAATTATAATCTGTTGTTATTTTCTGCAATGTTTCCAAAAACCAACAGGAAAGACATAAATGAACACCAGCATTTTATGCAATGGCTGGTCACATGTAACTTCTTGGTCAGAACACACTGGATTTGTGAAGAATGCTCTCATCAAGGTAGAGATGGAAATCATATGTACCCATCTTTTCTGGATATAACTGGATGTTTTCAACTGTCCAACATATCACTGACCTTCATACACTAGTGCATAAAAAGCAATCAGTTTCTGAGTTCAGGTCAACTGGTTTCCTTGTTTAGTGACTCCAAATTCCTAAAATGGAATATTCCAGAGATATTGCTCATTTAATGAATAACAGCTATAATTGCACTAGAAAAAAATTTGCCAAAACCTGAAAGCAAGAACATTTGAGTTGCTATCTTAAAGAAGAAAAATCATTGCAAATGAAGAAGTGTTTGAGATGACTATATGCTTGTATGGAATATAACTTTAGAAAGAAATACAGTGTCATAAAGATGAAAATAAAAAATTCTGAATAAAAGAGAAAAAGTTGGGTTGATATGTAACTCAGTTAGTAAAAGTGCTTGCATAGCATGTACACATATACATTACCCCAGGGACTTGACTCCAGCACTGCATAAGCCAAGGTGTATCAAAGGACTATAACCCTAGCACTTGGGAGTCAGACACAGGAGGATCAGAGGTTAAAGCATCATTGATTAATACTGAATTTGAGATCAACCCGGGATGCATGTGATCTTCTCATAAAAGAAAATGAAATGAAGAGAGAGATAGAGAGAGAATGAATGTGGGTGTCTTTAAATATTATAATCGTGTAATTTGGGGTCCTTTAGAGAAGGCTTTGCTGTTTTTTTTTATATCCACATGTAGTTTTCTTCTATGTTGCCCAGGATTCCAAATCTGATCCATGGTCATGTGATAGACATGTCAATAAAGTTGCCTGTTCCACACTCTCATCTGATTTCAAATGACAGCATGGAAGGAGGTCAAAGTTCAAATGCACAGGGTCAGATTTATCTTCTCCGAGGTGGATCCTGTTAATAGTGCTGTGTGATTTCTGTTCCATTTGAAAAAATTCTCACCTCTCCCACTTACTGCTCTTCCCTTTAATTCTTTCAGTTTTTCAGAACTGTTCTATTTTTTTTCCTAAAGGGCTTATAAATAGAATTTCTCCGCTTTGCCCTGACTATGCATGCCCTTGGACTTTTCCTCGACTTTAAGAAGTATCACCACCTTCTCTGGCTACAGAGGTGGAGCAAATTTGGAATCCTGAAAGAACCTCTGCAACCGTGTCCACTGAAACATCACCAAGAACGTTGCAACTCCAGTATAGAGATGGGTAAGAATGACCAGCAAAGCTATTCTCTCTTAAATTCTTTTATCATTAAATGCTCTTTGTAACAAAGGAGCTTTTTAGGGGCACATGTGTACTTTTGAAGTTTCTGCTATGGCCAGCGGGAGGGATGCAACCTTCAGTCTCGAAAATCCAGTTTAATAATTATTTAGCTTGCTTGATGTCTGGTTTTCTTGATGATAATTTAAATGGATATATCTATTTTCTGCAAATGTTTGTCACTAGCTTTAAACTGTTTTGAAAAGCTACCACTTTTCTCCTACGACATAAAACCATATTTTTTCTAAATACCTATTATTATGAAACAAACTACTTAGAAACTATGTAGCTTAAAAGCACTTGATTTTGTTTATTTGCAATTTTGTGGATCAGTGAGTTGGGAGGAGCATGGATGGGTATTCAGGTTTTATTTCCATGTGGCATAGGCTGGGGCAAATAGGGCTGGACGATTCTCTTTCAAGATGATTTTTCTTGCGCCTCACTTCTGGTCCTCTGTCTTTTTCTTTCCATGGTGTTTTCCCTTCCAGGATACTTTTTTCATTGGGCCTGGGCTTCTTCTAAATGGTGACCTCAGGGTCACCATTATTCTCCCTAAAGAGCAGTAGGTAGTTTCCAGGAAGCAGGAACTGGAAGCTTCCAGGCCACGAGAGAGCCACACTTCAAACTGGCACAGTGTAACTTCCACCACATTGCTTCCCTCAAGGCAGCCACAAGCACTGCATAGACTCAAGAGCAAAAGAAGGAAAGTGCATGTTCTGTGTTCCATGGTGTATTAGGGTCACATTACAGAAGAAACCTGTGAGATGAGAGCAGCAAATTCTATTGTATGAAAACCACAAACAATTAAAAAAAAAAGATGAAGTGAAAATGAAGGAAAGTTCTAGACAGGCACAACAAACTAGAAAGTATTGCATGATAGGCAAAGGGGCGTGTGTGTGTGTGTGTGTGTGTGTGTGTGTGTGTGTGTGTTTCTCTCTGTGTTTCCGTGTGTGTGCACAAATGTGTTACTGGCAAGGCCAGTTCAAAAACATCAAAGAACTTTCTACTGAGGATGATGACACGCCACTGAGGGTTTCAGGCAATGGTTTTTCCATTTGGAAAATGGTTTGACTGGTGGTGAGCCTGAGGCAGGAAGACTGGGGTAGCAGTTGGAGAAGATGGACAGTGGCTGTCAAAATGCTGATACTAGCAATCAGGATGGATGGGCTTTGGAAGTGAAAGTGTTTGAGGGGAGAGCTTGCATTTCAAGCCCAGGCAACTGGTTGAATGTTTTACTGATAGGGAATGTAAGACCATTTATAATGTCTGCAACATGCCAGACAGAGGGTTTACACTTCTGTTTTACTTGGAAACGGTTTCAGAAATAATCACTATGATGACAAACGCCAATACTTTAGTATCCCATGGCAGTTTTGATGTTCAAATATATTATCTCATTTGGGCTTGAATCACCTAATTAAGGTGGGGAGGGTGGAGTTGAGTCTTTCTGATATATGAGAGCCTAGGGAAAAAGTTTTTTTTTTTAAACAACAAAGTTGTAATTTATTAAGAATAAACTTTAATATGGATTTAGGCATGGGCATAGGGAAGAGAGAGACACTTAAAGACTACACACCCAAGTGAGATCATGGGCTTCTCAGGAGAAAAAAAAATATGGTCAGCTTCATGACTTTGCATGTCATCTTTGTATAAAGATCATGCTCTTTTCTGTATTGCTCCAATTTCAACATATATGTTGCTGAATAGGGCGCCAGGGAAAAGACTTTTTGTTCCTCTACTTACTTGTTCTTTTAGAGCAGGAATTTGCAAATTATGCATGTAACTCAAATGGATACACAACCCATTGTATCTATTTTTGTATAGCCTGAGAGCTAAGAACGCTTTTTATATTTTAAGGTGGTAGGAGGGGCTGGGGGTATAGCTCAGTTAGTAGTGTGCTTGACTAGCATGCACAAAGTCCTGGCTTCAATCCTCAGCACTACATAAAACTGGGCAGCATGGTGGCGCATTACCATAATGCTAGTGTGTGGGAGGTGAAGGGAGGAGAATCAGGAGTTCAAGGCTATCATAGGCTATAAAGCAATTTCAATGGCTGCCTGGGATACATGAGACACTGCCTCAAGAAAAATGACTGAAATATAAAATCAAAAGAAGAATATTTTCTTGCAAGTGAAAATGGCATGAATTCAAAGTTTAATGAATCTTATAAATTCAAATTTCATTATGTATAATCAAATTTTTATTGAAGTGTGGTCACACCCATTTATTTAAGTGTTGTATATGACTGCTTTCTTGCTACAAGGGTAAACTGGAGCAGTTTCCACTGAAAACCTACTTAGCTGGAAAGCCAAAAATATTTACCATCTGGTGCTTTTCTGACAGAGTTTGATGAACTTATTGTAAAGAGAAAACTTTCATTCTTTTCTCAAGAACCGACAATGTGTTTGTTTCCTGGAATGGTAGCCATGCCTGCCCCTCTGGGTTCCTAGATTGTCCCTTGGCTGGTTACAGATCCTCATTCTCTTGAGAACAACTCTCTAGTGATTTCTTTCTGCACCCATCAAAATCCAAGCTCTTAATCCATCGTCTGTCTGTTAGAGGACACCTCTTTGCAGGAATGACGATATCTTGGCTCTTTCTTATATCCACTTCCGTCCCGATTCTGACTGGAAAACAGCAAGTGACATTTATGAGGGACAATTGTGTAGTGCCTAGGATGAGAGAGGTCCTTTTCATTCTCTTCACAGCCCCACGACGTCGGTACTATTAACATCACCATCGTCATCTCACTGGTAGGAACCTGATGCACAGAGAGGATGAGTCACCGGCCCAAAGTGGTTAGTAAACAGTCTTGTCGGTGCAGCCAAGCTCCATCCACAGGCTGGATGACAAGCAGACTCCACTGAAGACAGGTTTTCAAAGTCGTTGTTGGGACCTGCAGTACTCCTTCACTGCCCACACATCCCTTCCGGGGTCAGCGCGCCCCAAGCGGCAGGGGTGCGCACCACTCTCGGCAGAAGCCCAAAAAAGACCCAGGGAGACGAAGGCGGAGTCAGAGGATCCCAGCCCAGGGTAAATAAAGGAAGTGTCACCTCTGCCTAAGGCCCCCGAGCCCCAGAGACTGCCCGCGAAGTGCTGAGTCACCGTGAGGGGCGGGCGCTCCAAACCCGCCCTCCGTGTGCTGTTTGCTGGTTCCCTGCGTCCCCAGTCCCTGCTGAGACTCCTGGCATCGCCGTGGCCTCCCTATTGGGTCGCTGCTTCCGCCCCGTGAGTGGCCTGGGGACCCCCCCGTGAGGGTGATCTGGGCAGGGGAGGGATGATGCTGGCGATCAGTTTTCATGATGCTACATACTCCTTGGGGGAGCTCAGGGAGATGCTTAAACAGCACTGTGATTTGGTGAAAGTGATGGTGGCTTGGCTTTTCTCTGTGCAAAACACTGCGATCAATTAACTATTCTCATCAATTGTTCATGTGTTAGGATCTAGTTGTGGGAGTTGGGAAGGACCCAGAATAGTCTAGCTGGAGGTAGACATGCATTCTGGTTGCTTGTGTGTGGATGATAGCCTCAGAATGAAGCTCATCTCTATGCCCCACATTCCATGGCCCTGTCTGCTGGGGCCATGATTTTAAAATCGGTCTTCACTAGCTAGAAGGTATTCCTGCATAGAGCTCTACAAATAACAGTAGCTGCTAATTTTCTGACAGCACTGTTAGCATCCCTTTGAGGTAGGTACTTATTCCCATTGCATAGATTGGAAAACTGAGGCACAGGGAGTCCTAAGTTAGGCAGCAGGTATGTGGCGAAGCTGGGATTAAATCTAAGGTGTCTGGCCCCAGAATCTGCTTCCTGCTAAAGTGCTTCTCTTGGTTACAGTAGAAATCTTTGAACGATTTTTCAGACTTCACTTAGAGAGCAAATTTGGGATTGGGGATTATTTTTCTGCAAACATTTGAAGTAGAAAAGGAGTTGAAGCAATTTTGAATCAAAAATGTCAGACAGAGGTTGTTCCTGACTGCGGGTTTCATTGTCTGGGGCAAGCTCATCAATGAGTTGTCTGTATATTAGAAGACATTGGGTCTGGAGAGATGGTTCAGCAGATAAGAGCATTGGTTGCTCTTGCAAAAGACCTGGGTTTCCATTCCCAGCACCCACATGGTGGCTAACAGTCATCCATAACTCCAGTTCCAGGGGGATTTGAAGCCCTCTTCTAACCTCCATGGGCATTGCATGACTTAAGTGCACTTACATACAATCAGGCAATGCACTCATACACATAAAAAAATAAAAATGATGAATAAAATTAAAAAAAAAAAAACTATTAGAAGACATCATGAGAGAGTTCAAAGATTCCTTGCCTAAAGTGTTGCCTGTACAAGACACGCACAAGATGAAGCCTGTCAAAATTCCAGCATAGACAGGGGAGGGATGCATGAAGCCCCACTCCAAGCTGAGAGGCTTTGGCACTTGAAAGCTGCTTGGATAGGGAGTGTCAGTTTTCTTCAGGGAAGTGTCCCCTGTTAGGATGTCCATGCTCCAGTGATGACCCCATATCTATGCACATAGGACAACAGTGAGTGAACTCAGTGGGCTATGGACAGAAGACACAAAGTTGAGAGGGGGAAGAAAGGGGGAGCTTGAAAGAGTTGGAGGAGCTGATTTAATCAAAACACGTTGTATACATGCATGAAATTCTCAAAGAAGAAATAAAAAAAATTAATTGGCCTTGGATTTTAGAGATGGAAAGTTCTTTGAATTCAATGACCTTTGAAGATCCCTGTTAAAGCCAACATCTTTATCATGTTAAGGTGAGATTCACCTGCCTCTTGTCTTTTCTATTTGCTCCCAATATCACCATCTGAATCCCCACTTCCATCTGTTATCCTACTCAATGGGTACCACTGGAGGAAGATGTGTGGAATGGAGAAGTCAAGAGATTCCATTGAAACAAAGCAGATAAAATGCTCATTAGATATTCATAGCAAGTACACCAGTGTTGTTATTGCTAATGTTTGTCCAAAAATGACTGTAGGATCACAAACGGTAACTGCTACTAATTTAATGAATGGGGTCCCAGACTTCTTGTAAGTACTAATACATGTTCAACCTAATCATTTTAAAAAATCACCCATTTTAGACCCTGTACAGAGTAAGCATTCAATAAATTGCAACTGTTAGAACTTGGGGCAAGTCTAATGTTAATGTCCTTAGTTTGTATCTGTGGATATTTCCTCGTTTATGACTTGTTGTTGTTGTTGTTATTGTCTCTCTTCTTGACCTCCATCTCTCCAGCTCAACATCAGAACATTCTTTATAGACTTCAACATGGGGTCCTCTAAGATGGTCACTCTCTCTGTGCTCAGCCGTGAGCAGTCTGAAGGAGTTGGAGCACGGGTCCGCAGAAGCATTGGCAGACCTGAGGTATGCTGGTTGGGTTATTACTTCTTGCTTTCTTTTCTGAAGGGACTGGTGGAATACTGAGGGTGATTTGGGAAGAGAAGTTCTAGATAGTCATGAGCTTCCCTGTGGGCTACCAGGTGGAGAAACTCTAAGTCTCACAATTGGGGCATCATGTGGATCAACCCCAGCCCCAAGGAGATTTTTAAAATGTGGATACAGAGGTCCTGGACAGCAGGTGCAGCTGAACTCTAGGAGGTATTTCTGCTTTTCCTTACACACCTATATCAGGAGCTGACAGTATTCTGGCTATCAGCCTCAGCATGCATATGCCCAAATGTATCCAACTTGTAGCCCTTCCACCCTTGTCTTATATACCAATACTTCAGAGCACCAGGGAGTAATTCTGGGTCTATTTCAGATTCCTAGAAAAGACAATTTGATTGGATCCACATGGGCCAGGTCTCCACTCCTGGCCAGTTACACATCAGCAGGAATATAGCTTAAGACAGTAACTGAAATCCAGTTCTGTAGGCCTCTGTTGGGGAGGGAGGCAGGAGCACATTGGAACTTGGAGAAGATTATTCTAGATGCTTCAACATTAGAGTATTTCTCATTTCAATAGTAGGGAAAATATGAGATTTTTTGTGGGGGTGGGAGGAGAACTCTTACATGCACAGAAAGGTTTCAAAGAGAGGTTATAGCCAAGGGCTATAGTCCCTGTTGCCATATCATACTAAATTTTGTGAATAAAAGAAGAAATGCATTATGGGAACTGATTGCCTTTTGAAAAATAGGGCTGGTTTATTGCTCTTGTGCTCTACTTAGGTGTTTTCATACTATTTTGTTGCTGAGTTTTATCCTATTCATTACATAAGGTTCCTTTTTCTACTTTTGGATAAAAAGTATATTGGAAACATGTTCATAGAGTTTTTTGTTCGTTTGTTTTTTGCAGTACTGGGGGTTGGACATAGGTCCTTGTGTATACTACATAATCATGCTACCACAGAGCTATAGCCCCCGTCCTCTTCTTGGATTTTATTTTGAGACAGAGTCTCATTAAGTTGCCCAGCCTGGTCTTGAACTTAGATCCTCCTGCTTCAGCCTCCTGAGTAGCTGGGATTCCATGGTTCTTTTGTTTATAGGGCTTGAAAAACTTATGACTTTCTTCAGGAAGTGTTGCTTATGTGGTTGGTGGATTTTGTATTTTAATTTTTTAAATTGAAAAATTCTGTATGTTGCGTGCAACATGTTTTGATATATGTAACACCGTGGAGTGGTCAAAACTAATCAGAATCTATATTACTTCACATAATAATGTTTTATCAGTGGTGAGAACATTTAACACTTAGTGTTAGCAAATTTCAACTGCCTAATACATTGCTACTAACTACAGTCACCACGTGCAGTTATCCCTTGAACTTATTCTTCCTGTCTGTCTGTGCTGGATAGCTTTAGTACCAACTTGACACACCTGGGTTGAGGGAGCCTCAACTGGAAAATTGCCTCCATTGGAGTGGTCTGTGGCCATGTCTGTGAGTCATCTTCTTGATTATTGAGTGATGTGGGAGGGCCCAGCCCACTGTGGGCGGTGCCACCCCAGGCAAGGTGGTCCTGTATTATATAAGAAAGCAGTCTGAGCTTGGGCCAGGGGCGCAAGCCAGTAAGCAGCATTCCTCCATGGCCTGTGCTCCAGCTCCTGCCTCCAGGTTCCTGCCCTGAGTTCCTACCTTGGGCTTCTGGATGAACTGTGTTCTGAGAGATGTAAGGCAAATAAACCCTTTCCTCCCTAAGTTGGTAGTGGTCAGAGTGTTTTGTCATGGCAATGGAGAATCAAACTAGAATACTGACTAATATACCTCTCTGCTCCCTTACCTCAGCCCCTGGAAGCCACCAATTTAGTTCCTGTTTCTACTTGTTTAGAGTCCACATATAAATATGAGGACACAGGGTATTTGTGTTTCTGTGCCTGGCTTTTCACCAAGAATTATGTGGATTAGCCATTGAGGTAGTCAGCAAACTGACACCCTACTTCTCCCTAGTCAGCCCTGTCAGGCTTCCCTCTGTTTTGTGCCTTTGTCATTTCTCTTTCCAACATTAACTCATTCATAAATATTTCCTGAGGTTCAAGAGATACTGTTTGTCATAGGAAATACACAAATAAGTTTGTCCCAATGGCTGAATGCATAGGGACAGATGGGGCTGGTATCATATTCTATTAGACATATCAACAGAATAATTAGAAGTTTGAGACCTTAGAGACACCTGTTAGTAAGCCAATATGTTGAGGGTAGGTAATACTTTAATTAGTCCATCTGTCAGGAATGAATCTGCTGAAAATTAAGCTTTTTTTTTTTAACCCCATGAACCCCTTTGGTGATCTGGTAAAACCTATCGATTCCTTTGCAAAACAATGTTTTGAAGGACATAAAATGAAATATATAGAATTGCCAAGGAAAACTTTTACATTATAACATGGTTAAGTTTCTGGGGAAATGATTTTGTAATCTAATACTTTTATATTAAATAACAGGATTGTGGGTGGTATGTCCGGTAACATCTTTTTTTTTAAAAAATATGTTTTATTCATTTTTTATTTTATATGTATGAGTGTATTGCCTGAATGTATACAAGTGCACTCATGTCATGCAGTGCCCTTGGAGGTCAAAAGAGGGTTTCAAATCCCCTGGAACTGGAGTTACAGATTATTGTTAACCATCATGTGGGTGATGGGAATCAAACCTGGGTCCTCTGTAAGAGCAGCCAGTGCTCTTAACTGCTGAGACATCTCTCTAGCCCTGTCTAGTAACATCTTAATTTCAAAGATGTAAGGAACAGAAACAAGAGCTACTCACATACTTATTCACAATTGTAATACGCTATGAAAATAGGATTGATTTCTATTGGTGCTAGAATTATAGTTACTGGTAATTTATTGTAGTTGACTGAGTTCATTCGTAATTGAAGAAAACATTGAATTTCAGTCTAGAGATTGTAATAATAGTTGAACAACAATGCAGATATACTTAATGCTACTGAACTATATACTTAATGTTATTAAAATGCTAAATTGGGGTCCTGAAGAGATGGCTTGGCAGAGAAGTGTACATACTGCTCTTGGAGGACCCAAGTTCAATTCCCAGGACCTACTCCAGTGGTTCAGAAGCATCTGTAACTCCAGAGCCAGAGGATCCAATGTCCTCTTCTGGCTTCCTCAAGCACTTCCACTCACATGCCAATACTTCCACACAGACACGTGCATGTAATCAAAAATAAAATGAATCTCTTAAAAAATACTATCTCATTTTGTGTATATTTTACCCAAGTTAAAAAAATCCAGAAAAATTAGATGCTAGTGAAAATGAAGATGGACTTTTAAATGTTGAATTTTAATTGTTTGAAAATTACTTGAGTATATTGTATTTACATCATCTCTACCCTTCCTTCTCTCCCGTCCAACTCTTCCCATGCCCCAACTCCTCATGTCTTCTATCTTTATTTTGTTATTTATACAAATTACTAAGTCCATTTAGTAGCACTAGTACATATATGTGTTTAGGGTTGACCCTTTGGGATTGGATATGTTATCAGAGGGCTCATGCCTGGAGAAAACTGACTCTCCCTCCCTTAACAGCCACTGGTTGCCTATAGTTCGTCATCTAGGATGGGACCTTGTGGACTCTCCCCTATTCATGTTGGCATGTCCACTGGTGTGGTCATTATTCAGGTCTTGTTTAGGCATGTTGAGTTGCTGTTGAGATTTCAGGGGTACAGCATCCTTATCATGTCTAGAAGACACTGTCTCGCCACAGTCGTCCTGGTACTCTGGCTCTTATGATCTTCCGTCCCCTCTTCCACAATGTTCTCTGAGCCTTAAATGCAGGGCTTACACTGTGAATGTGTCAGTTAGGTCTGGGCACTCCACAGTCACTTATTCTCTGTGTTTGGACCAGTTGCAGATCTCTACAGTAGCCTCAAATATGGAATTTTTCTACAATACAATTTGACATCTTTGAATTCTATGCATTATCTTGCATAACAATCCTTGGCAGAAAACCTAGATTTTCAAGACCCTCATGGTATGTTTAAATTTATGTCTCCTGTGTCACCAGTATGTCTGTAACCCTAAGAAAAGAAAGATGAATAATTCTGAATATTATTAACTTTATTTAATTACAAATAAGAAAGAAGATATTTCTAAATAATTATATGTCGTTGGGGATTATATACAATACAGTTTTGTGTCCTGAAGTTTTTCAATTAACATGGTAGTCCAAGGACTTTCCATGTTATTGCAAATTCTTCACAAACATTGTTGTAATAATTATGCCCCACCCCATTATATAAGCCTACCATCATTTTCTTGTTCAAGACCCTGTTTTTTACTATTGAGACTGTTGCCATATTTTTAAAACACTACCAATTTGTCAAAAAGATAGATTTCTACTCCTTCAGCAGAGAATGAAGGCATTTATTTAACATTAGGAAGGTTACTTCTCAAACTCTATGCACCAAGGTTTAGGTCTCTGAAGAAGTATAAACTTTGGACTCCAAAGCTATTTTAATATTGAAATTACAACAATGTTCCATGTCAGTAACTGCCATAAATGGTTTTTTTTCCCTCCTTATCACTGCAAATGTGGAGGTGGAAGAGGAACTTACAATGAGCCTTTCTATGGTTAGCAATAAATAAAAGATGGGCTCGGGCTAACTCAGATCCTTCCATACAGTTATCCATGGACTAGGCTAGGCAGATTGGTGTTTGAATGACTGAAAAGCGTACGTTGAGTGGTGGCTCCTCTGTGCTCCCAGTAGGAGGGAACCCCACCATCATCTGCACTCTCCTCTGTGCTGCCCCTTCCAACAGACACTGTTCAGTAGAACATGACTACTCTTATTTGAGTGAATAATTGAAAACAGAAGACTAGATAAAATAGCTCAGTACTTGCCCTGTTCCTAGCATCGGAAATGATAAGCTCAGGGGCAACCCAATCTCTCTCCTCAAAGTATCTTGAACAGAATCC